AGTGAGAGAGTAATTGTGGTAGGGGACCTGGATGCTAAAGTAGGAGAAACTTTTAGAGAGGGTGTGGTAGGTAAATTTGGGGTGCCAGGTGTAAATGATAATGGGAGCCCTTTGATTGAACTTTGTATAGAAAGGGGTTTAGTTATAGGTAATACATATTTTAAGAAAAAGAGGATAAATAAGTATACAAGATATGATGTAGGGCGAAATGACAGTAGTTTGTTGGATTATGTATTGGTAGATAAAAGACTGTTGAGTAGACTTCAGGATGTACATGTTTATAGAGGGGCCACAGATATATCAGATCACTTTCTAGTTGTAGCTTCACTGAGAGCAAAATGTAGATGGGATACAAGGAGAATAGAAGTATCAGGGAAGAGAGAGGTGAAGGTTTATAAACTAAAAGAGGAGGCAGTTAGGGTAAGATATAAACAGCTATTGGAGGATAGATGATCACTCCCAGGTCTTTGACGTTGGTTTTTCGCTCTATTTTGTAGCCGGAATTTGTTTTGTACTCTGATGAAGTTTTAATTTATTCGTGTTTGCCATATCGGAGTAATTGAAATTTGTCATCGTTGAACTTCATATGCTAATGAGAGCATAGGCAATGGGGTTGAAGAGGTATGGGGTAGGTTTAAAAATGTAGTGTTAGAGTGTTCAGCAGAAGTTTGTGGTTACAGGAAAGTGGGTGCGGGAGGGAAGAGGAGCGATTGGTGGAATGATGATGTAAAGAGAGTAGTAAGGGAGAAAAATTTAGCATATGAGAAGTTTTTACAAAGTAGAAGTGATGCAAGGAGGGAAGAGTATATGGAGAAAAAGAGAGAGGTTAAGAGAGTGGTAAAGCAATGTAAAAATAGAGCAAATGAGAGAGTGGGTGAGATGTTATCAACAAATTTTGTTGAAAATAAGAAAAAGTTTTGGAGTGAGATTATCAAGTTAAGGAAGCCTAGAGAACAAATGAATTTGTCAGTTAAAAATAGGAGAGGAGAGTTATTAAACGGAGAGTTAGAGGTATTACCTGGAGTTTACCTGGAGAGAGTTCCGGGGGTCAACGCCCCGGCGGCCCGGTCTGTGACCAGGCCTCCTGGTGGATCAGAGCCTGATCAACCAGGCTGTTACTGCTGACTGCACACAATCCAACGTACGAGCCACAGCCCGGCTGGTCAGGTACCGACTTAAGGTGCTTGTCCAGTGCCAGCTTGAAGACTGCCAGGGGTCTGTTGGTAATCCCCCTTATGTATGATGGAAGGCAGTTGAACAGTCTCGGGCCCCTGACACTTATTGTATTGTCTCTTAAAGTGCTAGTGACACCCCTGCTTTTCATTGGGGGGATGTTGCATCATCTGCCAAGTCTTTTGCTTTCGTTGTGAGTGATTTTCGGGTCCAAGTTCGGTACTAGTCCCTCTACGATTTTCCAGGTGTATATAATCATATATCTCTCCCGCCTGCATTCCAGGGAATACAGGTTCAGGAACTTTAAGCGCTCCCAGTAATTGATGTGTTTTATCTCCGTTATGCGCGCTGTGAAGCTTCTCTGTACAATTTCTAGGTCAGCAATTTCACCTGCCTTGAAAGGTGCTGTTAGTGTGCAGCAATATTCCAGCCTAGATAGAACAAGCGACCTGAAGAGTGTCATTATGGGCTTGGCATCCCTAGTTTTGAAGGTTCTCATTATCCATCCTGTCATTTTTCTAGCAGCTGCGACTGATATAATGTTATGGTCCTTGAAGGTGAGATCCTCCGACATGATCACTCCCAGGTCTTTGACGTTGGTTTTTCGCTCTATTTTGTAGCCGGAATTTGTTTTGTACTCTGATGAAGTTTTAATTTATTCGTGTTTGCCATATCGGAGTAATTGAAATTTGTCATCGTTGAACTTCATATTGTTTTCTGCAGCCCATTGAAAGATTTGGTTGATGTCTGCCTGGAGCCTTGCAGTGTCTGCAATGGAAGACACTCTCATGCAGATTCGGGTGTCATCTGCAAAGGAAGACACGGTGCTGTGGCTGACATCCTTGTCTATGTCAGATATGAGGATGAGAAACAAGATGGGAGTGAGTACTGTGCATTGTGGAACAGAGCTTTTCACCGTAGCCGCCTCAGACTTTACTCTGTTGACTACTACTCTTTGTGTTCTGTTTGTGAGGAAATTATAGATCCATCTACCAACTTTTCCTTTTATTCCTTTAGCTCGCATTTTGTGCGCTATTACGCCATGGTCACACTTGTCGAAGGCTTTTGCAAAGTCTGTATATATTACATCTGCATTCTTTTTTTCTTCTAGTGCATCTAGGACCTTGTCGTAGTGATCCAGTAGTTGAGACAGACATGAGCGACCTGCTCGAAACCCATGTTGCCATGGGTTGTGTAACTGATGGGTTTCTAGATGGGTGGCGATCTTGCTTCTTAGGACCCTTTCAAAGATTTTTATGATATGGGATGTTAGTGCTATCGGTCTGTAGTTCTTTGCTATTGCTTTACTGCCCTCTTTGTGGAGTGGGGCTATGTCTGTTGTTTTTAGTAGCTGTGGGACGACCCCAATGTCCAGGGTCCCTCTCCATAGGATGGTAAAAGCTCGTGATAGGGGCTTCTTGCAGCTCTTGATGAACACGGAGTTCCATGAGTCTGGCCTTGGGGCAGAGTGCATGGGCATGTCATTTATCGCCTGTTCGAAGTCATTTGGCGTCAGGATAACATCAGATAGGCTTGTGTTAACCAAATTCTGTGGCTCTCTCATAAAAAAATTAATTTTGATCTTCAACTCTCAGTCTGGTTAGCGGCTTGCTAAAAACTGAGTCATATTGGGACTTGAGTAGCTCACTCATTTCCTTGCTGTCATCTGTGTATGACCCATCTTGTTTAAGTAGGGGCCCAATAATGGACGTTATTTTCGACTTTGATTTAGCATAGGAAAATAAACAGATGGAGGGAATATTTTGAGGAATTGTTAAATGTTGATGAAGATAGGGAAGCTGTGATTTCATGTATAGGGCAAGGAGGAATAACATCTTGTGGAGTGAGGAAGAGCCTCTTGTGAGTGTGGGGGAAGTTCGTGAGGCAGTAGGTAAAATGAAAGGGGGTGAGGCAGCTGAGATTGATGGGATGAAGATAGAAATGTTAAAAGCAGGTGGGGATATAGTTTTGGAGTGGTTGTGCTATTGTTTAATAGGTGTATGGAAGAGGGTAAGGTGCCTAGGATTGACATAGAGCATGCTTAGTTTCTTTGTATAAAGGCAAAGGGGACAAAAGAGAGTGCAAAAATTAAAGGGGGATAAGTCTGTTGAGTATACCTGGTAAAGCGTATGGTAGAGTTATTATTGAAAGAATTAAGAGTAAGACGGAGAATAGGATAGCAGATGAACAAGGAGGCTTTAGGAAAGGTAGGGGGGTGTATGGGCCAGGTGTTTACCGTGAAACATATAAGTGAACAGTATTTAGATAAGGCTAAAGAGGTTTTTGTTGCATTTATGGATTTGGAAAAGGCGTATGACAGGGTGGATAGGGGGGCAATGTGGTAGAATGTTGCAGGTGTATGGTATAGGAGGTAGGTTACTGAAAGCAGTGAAGAGTTTTTACGTGGATATTGAGTCTCAAGTTAGAGTATGTAGGAAAGAGGGAGATTATTTCCCAGTAAAAGTAGGCCTTAGACAAGGATGTGTGATGTCACCGTGGTTGTTTAATATATTTATAGATGGGGTTGTAAGAGAAGTAAATGCGAGGGTCTAGGCAAGAGGCGTGGAGTTAAAAGATAAAGAATCACACATAAAATGGGAGTTGTCACAGTTGCTCTTTGCTGATGACACTGTGCTCTTGGGAGATTCTGAAGAGAAGTTGCAGAGGTTGGTGGATGAATTTGGTAGGGTATGCAAAAGAAGAAAATTAAAAGTGAATACAGGAAAGAGTAAGGTTATGAGGATAACAAAAAGATTAGGTGATGAAAGATTGGATATCAGATTGGAGGGAGAGAGTATGGAGGAGGTGAATGTATTCAGATATTTGGGAGTGGACATGTCAGCGGATGGGTCTATGAAAGATGAGGTGAATCATAGAATTGATGAGGGGAAAAGGGTGAGCGGTATACTTAGGAGTCTGTGGAGACAAAGAACTTTGTCCTTGGAGGCAAAGAGGGAAATGTATGAGAGTATAGTTTTACCAACGCTCTTATATGGGTGTGAAGCATGGGTGATGAATGTTGCAGTGAGGAGAAGGCTGGAGGCAGTGGAGATGTCATGTCTGAGGGCAATGTGTGGTGTGAATATAATGCAGAGAATTCGAAGTTTGGAAGTTAGGAGGTGCGGGATTACCAAAACTGTTGTCCAGAGGGCTGAGGAAGGGTTGTTGAGGTGGTTCAGACATGTAGAGAGAATGGAGCAAAACAGAATGACTTCAAGAGTGTTTCAGTCTATAGTGGAAGGAAGTCGGGGTAATGGTCGGCCTAGGAAAGGTTGGAAGGAGGGGGTAAAGGAGGTTTTGTGTGCGAGGGGTTTGGACTTCCAGCAGGCATGCGTGAGCGTGTTTGATAGGAGTGAATGGACACAAATGGTTTTTAATACTTGACGTGCTGTTGGAGTGTGAGCAAAGTAACATTTATGAAGGGGTTCAGGGAAACCGTCAGGCCGGACTTGAGTCCTGGAGATGGGAAGTACAGTGCCTGCACTCTGAAGGAGGGGTGTTAATGTTGCAGTATAAAAACTGTAGTGTAAAGCACCCTTCTGGCAAGACAGTGATGGAGTGAATGATGGTGAAAGTTTTTCTTTTTCGGGCCACCCTGCCTTGGTGGGAATCGGCCAGTGTGCTAATAATAATATATATATATATATATATATATATATATATATATATATATATATATATATATATATATATATATATATATATATATATATATATATTAACAAGATTAGTTAAGTAGTGGGTAACATTTAAACCAGCATAATAAGTTAGCCATATAGAAAGGAAGGTTTGTATTCAAGGGTAACTTAAAAAAATGGAAGACAATATTACCGAGCTGGGATGCGAGGCGTCTACTCCACCAGCGATGCCATAGATTGGTTTAGTGGGACTCGCCCTCCTCAGTCTTTCTGTGGGAGACAGAATTATCACAAGCTACCCAAGTTGTACTTATATGCTCTGTGGATACCTGTGTTGTGTCAGTACTAATGTTACACAATTTATGAGTTAACTACTGTTACATGTGTAATGTGTGATAATATTTTATGTAAAAGCTAATAATACTATACATATTATGTGGGTACAAGTGTTAGATGTTATGTGGTTAAAATGTTACAATGTTATGAGTGAGCTAATAATACATGTGCTAAGTGGGTATCAATGTTTTATATTTTATGTTGGTACCAATGTTATATTAGTTATGTGAGTAATAATGTTTAATGTTTCATGTGAGAACTAGTAATATGTGGGATTTTGGGTATGGCTGGAAAACAATAATAATAAAAATAATACTACAAATGGGTCGTGAGCGAAATATTAGGTAGTTGTGGGCGATGGTCCACTTATGACCACCTCGACATGCTCAGTCGTAATCTTCTAACATTGACGTAGGTATTGCAGTACTGTAAGATGGCGGAACAGCACCTATCTGGCTCATTAACTGTAGCCTGTGACGCTGTTGACATCACTGAGGCCGAAAACGATGTCTTGACTGAAGAGGCTTACTGTTTACTTCAGTTTCAGAAGTGTCCTGGAGGAACTAATGCTCCTAACTAAATTATCAACTTCGAGGCTAATTATACTGGAACCTCGCTACTGGAACTTCATTCGTTCCAGAAGGTTGCTCGAGTGCCGATCTGTGGGAGTGCCTAACGAATTTTTCCATACCAATTTTTTTTTTATCACTAATTTCCGTAGGCTTATTTATACAAATAATACAAAAACAAAAATAAATGCGAAGAAACACGATATAGTTTACAGCGAAGTTCGGGAAAGCTAAAGCTCCCACAGGCTAACACACCGAACACAGACTCGTAAGGAAGTGAATGGTCTCATGAAGCTGTACAGACATTCGTATCTGATCTATGTTCAGTTTGCAATTTTGCGAAGTAATGAACACGTGAAGCTGAGCTATGAACTCTTCCCGGTGAGAGATCATAGCCGTTTTACAGGGAGCATCTGCCCCAGGGAACATCTGCCTCAGGGAACATCTGCAACAAGGAACATCTGCCCAAGGGAACATCTGCCGCAGGGAACATCTGCCCCAGGGAACATCTGCCCCAGGGAACATCTGCCCCAGGGAACATCTGCCCAAGAGAACATCTGCACAGGGAACATCTGCCCAGGGAACATCTGCCCAGGGAACATCTGCCCAAGGGAACATCTGCCCAGGGAACATCTGCCCCAGGAACCATCTGCCCCAAGGAACATCTGCCATCGGGAACATCTGCCCCAAGGAACATTTGCCCCAAGAAACATCTGCCACAGGGAACATCTGCCCCAGGGAGCATCTGCCCCATGGAACATCTGACCCCGGGAACATCTGCCCCAGGGAAAATCTGCCCCAGCGAGCATCTGCGCCAGGGAACATCTGCCCCAGAGAGCATCTGCCACAGGGAACATCTGCGAACATCTGCCACAGGGAACATCTGCCACAAGGAACATTTGCCCCAGGGAACATCTGCCCCAGGGAACATCTGCCCCAGGGAGCATCTTCCCCAGGGAACATCTGCACCAGGGAACATCTGCCCCAGGAAACATTTGCCCTAGGGAACATCTGCCACAGGGAACATCTGACCCAGGGAGCATCTGCCCCAGGGAACATCTTCCCCAGGGAACATCTGCACCAGGAAACATCTTCCCCAGGGAACATCTGCCACAGGGAACATCTGCCCCAGAGAGCATCTGCCACAGGGAACATCTGCGAACATCTGCCACAGGGAACATCTGCCACAGGGAACATTTGCCCCAGGGAACATCTGCCCCAGGGAACATCTGCCCCAGGGAGCATCTTCCCCAGGGAACATCTGCACCAGGGAACATCTGCCCCAGGAAACATTTGCCCTAGGGAACATCTGCCACAGGGAACATCTGCCCCAGGGAGCATCTGCCCCAGGGAACATCTTCCCCAGGGAACATCTGCACCAGGAAACATCTTCCCCAGGGAACATCTGCCACAGGGAACATCTGCCCCAGGGAGCATCTGCCACAGGAAACATCTGCGAACATCTGCCGCAGGGAACATCTGCCGCAGGGAACATCTGCCACAGGGAACATTTGCCCCAGGGAACATCTTCCCCAGAGAACATCTGCACCAGGGAACATCTGCCCCAGGGAACATCTGTAACAAGGAACATATGCCCAAGGGAACATCTGCCCCACTGAAAATCTGCCCCAGGGAACATCTGCCCCAGGGAACATCTGCCCCAAGGAATATCTGCCCCAGGGAACATCTGCCCCAGGGAACATCTTCCCCAGGGAACATCTGCACCAGGGAACATCTGCACCAGGGAACATCTGCCCCAGGGAACATCCGCAACAAGGAGCATCTGCCAAATGGAACATCTGCCCCAGGGAACATCTGCCCCAGGGAACTTCTGCCCAAGGGACCATCTGCCCCAGGGTGCATCTGCCCCAGGGAATATCTGCCCCAGGGAACATCTGTCCCAGGGAACATCTAACCCAGGGAGCATCTGCCCCAGGGAACATCTGCAACAAGGAGCATCTGCCCTATGGAGCATCTGCCCCAGGGATCATCTGCCCAGGGACCATCTGCCCCAGGGAGCATCTGCCCCAGAGAACATCTGCCCCAGGGAACATCTGTCCCAGGGAACATCTAACCCAGGGAGCATCTGCCCCATTGAGCATCTGCCCCAGGGAACTGCTGCCCCAGGGAACAACTGCCCCAGGGAACATCTGCCCCAAGGAGCATCTGCCCCAGGGAACATCTGCCCCAGGGAACATCTGCCCAAGGGAACATCTGCCCCAGGGATCATCTGCCCAAGGGAACATCTGCCCAAGGGAACATTTGCCCCAGAGAATATTTCCCCCAGGGAACATCTGCCCCAGGGAACATCTGCCCAAGGGAGTATCTGACCCAGGGAGCAACTGCCCCAGGGAGCATCTGCCACAGGGAACATCTGCCCCAGGGAGCATCTGCCCCAGGGAGCATCTGCCGCAGGGAACATCTGCCCCAGGGAACATCTGCCCCAGGGAACATCTGCCCCGGGGAGCATCTGCCCCAGGGAACATCTGCCCAGGGAACATCTGCCCAGGGAACATCTGCCCCAGGAAACATCTGCCCAGGGAACATCTGCCCCAGGAAACATCTGCCCCAGGGAACATCTGCCCCAGGGAACATCTGCCCCAGGGAACATCTGCCCCAGGGAACATTTACCCCTCGGAACATTTGCCCAAGGGAACATCTGCTCCAGGAAGCAACTGCCCCAGGGAACATCTGTCCAGGGAACATCTGCCCCAGGGAACATCTGCTTCAGGGAACGTCTGCCCAGGAAACATATGCCCAAGGGAGCATCTGCCCCAGGGAACATCTGCCCCTGGGACCATCTGCCCCAGGGAACATCTGCCACAGGGAACATCTGCCCCAGGGAACATCTGCCTCAGGGAACATCTGCCCCAGGGAACATCTGCCCCATTGAGCATCTGCCCCATTGAGCATCTGCCCCAGGGAACTTCTGTCCCATGGAATATCTGCCGTAGGGAACATCTGCCCCAGGGGAAAATCTGCTAAAGGGACCAACTGCCCAAGGGAACATCTGTCCCAGGGAACATCTGCTCATCGGAACATTTGCCTCTGGGAACATCTGCCCCAGGGAACATTTGGCACAGGGAACGTGTGCCCCAGGGAACATCTGCCCCAGGGAACATCTGCCCCAGGGAGCATCTGCCCCAGGGAATATCTGCCCCAGGGAACATTTGCCCCATGGAATATCTGCCCAAGGGATCATCTGCCCCCAAAGAACATCTGCCCCAGGGAACATCTGCTCCAGGTAACATATGCCCCAGGGAACATTTGCCCCAGGAATCATCTGCCCCAGGGAACATTTGCCCCAGGGAACATCTGCCCCAGGGAACGTTTGCCCCAGGGAACATTTGCCCCAGGGAAAATTTGCCCAAGGGAACATTTGGCCCAGGGAACATCTGCCCCAGGGAACGTTTGCCCCAGGGAACATTTTCCCCAGGGAACATCTGCCCTAGAGAACATTTCCCAAAGGGAGCATCTGCCCAAAGGAAAATCTGCCCCAGGAATCATCTGCCCCAGGGAACATCTGCCCCAGGGAACATCTGAACAAGGGAGCATCTGCCCCAGGGAACATCTGCCGCAGGGAACATGTTCCCCAGGGAACATGTTCCCCAGGGAACATCTGCACCAGGGAACATCTGCCCCAGGGAACATCTGCAACAAGGAACATATGCCAAGGGAACATCTGCCCCAGTGAACATCTGCCCCAGGGAACATCTGCCCCAGGGAACATCTGCCCCAGGGAACATCTTCCCTAGGGAACATCTGCACCAGGGAACATCTGCCCCAGGGAACATCTGCAACAAGGAACATCTGTCCAATGGAACATCTGCCCCATAGAACATCTGCCCCAGGGAACATTTGCCCAAGTGAACATCTGCCCCAGGGAACATCTGCCCCAGGGAGCATCTGCCCCAGGGAGCATCTGCCCCAGGGAACATCTGCCCCAGGGAACATCTGCCCCAGCGAGCATCTGCGAAAGGGAACATCTGCCCCAGGGAGCATCTGCCCCATGGAACATCTGTGAACATCTGCCACAGGGAACACCTGCCCCAGGGAACATCTGCCCCAGGGAACATTTGACGCAGGGAATATCTGCACCAGGGAACATCTGCCCCATGGAACATCTGCCCCAGGGAACATTTGACGCAGGGAACATCTGCACCAGGGAACATCTGCCCCAGGGAACATCTGCAACAAGGAACATCTGCCAATGGAACATCTGCCCCTGTAAACATCTGCCCCAGGGAACATCTGCCCCAGGGAACAACTGCCCCAAGGAATAACTGCCCCAGGGAACATCTTCCCCAGGGAACATCTGCCCCAGGGAACATATGCCCCAGGGAACATCTGCAACAAGGAACATCT